ACCCAAGTTCGGGAGTTCCTGAAGATCTGTCAAAAAGAAGGCCTTCGCTTGAAGATCAGTAAATGCATCTTTGAAGCCGAAGAAATTGAATTCCTCGGAATGGTTATAGGAAAAGGGTGTCTGGAAACTTCGCCGACGAAGACTGATGCAATTAGTACTTGGGAAGCCCCGGACAACTTGACTGGGCTTTGCCAGTTCCTTGGATTCTGCAACTTCTATCGGAAATTCATCCCTTCGTTTTCAAGCATCGCTTGTCCCCTGCATGACCTTACCAAGAAAGGGGTGTCCTATACCTGGACACCGGAACGAGACCAAGCCTTTGAGCGTCTTAAATCTTTGTTATGCTCGGCACCAGTCCTCACCATTCCAGATTTCTCCAAACCCTTCGGCCTTTTCACTGATGCTTCCAAGCTCAGAACTGGAGCTGTGCTTGCGCAGAAAGGGGCCGATGGTGAATGGCATCCCTGTTCTTACCTCTCCCAATCCCTGGTGGGTGCGGAACAACGTTATCAGGTCTATGACTTGGAAATGTTGGCCGTGATCCGTGCGCTCAAGGCCTTCCGCCCCTATCTCCTTTCCCCCATTGAACCAACGGTGGTCTTTACTGACCACAAAAATCTTGAATATTATCGTGAGCCCCAACAGCTCACTCCCTGCCAAGCAAGATGGGCCGCTACGGTCCAGTCCTACCCGATCCGCTTCTCTTGGCAAGCTGGCCACTTGCAGGTCCCCGCGGATACGTTATCACACAAAAGTGAGGTGGCCGAACCTGCCCCGGTTGCCACGGTCCTTCCGCCGGACCTTTGGCTTTTGAAGGGGGTGGACGAACCTCAAATTCGCCTCGTTTCACCGATATTTTCCCTCACAAAAATACAAAAACAACAAAAAATCAATCGCTTAGCATGAATTGGTCGAGTTCCTCTGACAAAGACACGGTCTCGCTCTCGCACCTGGCCCTATTCTCGCCCAGTTGAGGAGAAACCAAAGGAGAATAGCCCACCTGATGCTCGCCCGCTTGAGGAAACAATCAAAGGAGCCAGGGGTGTTTACGCTGTGTTGGCTGAACTCTACAACAAAATCAAAGAAGACACTTCTCGGATCAAGGAAGGACCGGAAGCAAAAAGTAATTTGACAACCGAACCTGATGGAACGAAACAGTACGGGTCAACCCGGCTATATATTCCTCCTGATCATCGCCGGCACTGCCTGAAAACTTATCACGATCACAAGTCCTCCGGACACCCAGGGCAGAAGGCTATATTTGCCAAAATGAGGAAAGAGGTCTGGTGGGAAGGAATGGGTAAGGACATCAAGAAATATGTTGCCGGATGTCTGGTTTGCCAGGGTAGCAAGGTCATCACGCATCCCCCGGCTCCCCCCATTACCCCCCATGACACTCCCGTAACGGCCTTTCCATTCCAACAGATTTCCATGGACTTTATCACGGACCTCCCGGTCTCAGGAGATGACAAATACGACGCAATACTCACGGTTGTCGATCAGGGGCTGTCAAAGGCCGCCCTGTTCGTTCCCTGTCACAAGACTATTGACTCCATGGGACTCACTAAATTATTTCATCAATTCATTTACGCCCGATTTGGGTTGCCGGAATTGGTAATCTCAGATCGCGGACCCCAATTCGCATCGGCCTTCACGAAGGAGTTGTACAAAGCAATAGGGGTTAAACCCAAACTCTCCACCGGATACCACCCTCAAACCAATGGAGAAAGCGAGTGGGTTAATCAAGAACTGGAAGGGTACTTGCGCCTGTACTGCTCGGAGTTTCCCAATTCTTGGGCAGCAAAGTTACCCTCCGCCGAGTTCGCCCATAATTCCCGTGTCCACTCGGTGCATCAAATGACCCCTTTTTCCTTGCTCCTTGGCTATGACCCATCTCTGTATCCAGAGGTACAGACTACCCCGGTACCATCGGTCGAAGAAAGATTGGAACGATTGGTGGCAGGTAGAGATGTTGCAATATTGGCACACAAAAAGGCGCAGGAAGCAATGAGATCCCGCTCAAAAGGGACATACGTTGCGCCTAAGGTCGGAGATCGTGTCCTCCTGGATACCACTCATCTCCACATCAAAAACCAGTGCGACAAAATTGCACCCCGATGTCTCGGGCCTTTCGTGGTGACTCAGGTTGTGTCACCTGTCGCGTTCCGATTGGATCTTCCCGGTACTTGGAAAGTCCATCCCATGTTTCATGGTTCTCGGATCTTCCCGTTCGTCGAAAACGAGGTATATGGAGCTGCGCCCGCAGCACCGTTGCCAGAGTTAGTAGATGATGAAATTGAGTGGGAGGTCGAGTCAATCCTAAATCACAAAACCGATGGCTGCCGAGGAAAGAGAAAATACCTGGTAAAGTGGAAAGGGTTCCCTCATTCGTCAAATATGTGGGAACCCGAGGAACACTTAAAAGAGCATGCAGAAGAAGTGCTCGACCAGTACAAACTCGCCTGCCATCTAAGAAATTAAATGGACTCCCCTCACTCTGTCAACACTGAGAACGACTATGCAGACCTCCTCAAATCCGTTTATCACTCCGACGACGACGGGCTCGTACCCCCCGTCGCTGTCTATGCCCCAACCTCACCTCCAACGTCCCCTGCCGGTTTTTATGTCTCCGGGTTCTCCTCGCCCATATCCCAGCCCTGTATGACATCGCCCGCTCTCGCCCGCCCTCTCCGACCACGTCCATGCGAGGGGATCACCGTCAAACGCGTCCCCGCCCCAAAGGTCAGAGTCCCCCTCAGTGAGGACAGTAGCCGAAAGGGAAAGGATAAGGTGCGGGTTGACAATGACCCCGGTAGTGGAGCAACCACGTCCACCCGCACCAATGCTGCCGAATCTACCAATGTATGCAGCGCCTTCACCACTTACTCAAACCGAAGCAATCGTCCGGCCCTCGATCTCCTCGCCACCGCCGCCGCTTCCAGGGTTGATGAGCAAAGACTACCAGTCCCAGCGGCTGAATACCTGGACATTGTTAGGGCGCTTGACGTCTTCCACGACGGGGACAACATTGACAGGTGCACACCAGAACAAGTTAAGTATTTTGGGATGTTGTCTGAAGTCTACCGAGCATCAGACATAATCAACAGACTGGTGTCCAAAATCCATACCTGAAAACTTACCGGAGTAGCGCCCCTATTGGAGGTAATAATGATCGAGATGCTTGAGAAGGCTTCCTCCGAAATTACCGAAGCCATCACTGGCGGAGCCTATCACCATTTACGGCAGCAACAAATCAACGAGTTTCTTGCACTGCCGGCTTCGCAGGTTCTCGATCAGATTCGTCCGAAGGAAGTGCAAACTCCCGACATCAAATTAAAGAAGGACGTAACGGATCAGGAGAAGGAGAAGGAGTGGTGCGCCATCAAGCTAGGGTATGTGGATTCGGGGGAGCTCTTTAAAGAGGTTGGTGCCAGGCTGGGAATGGGGACTCATAACTCCTCCTGGGAGGTACTTCTGCAGAATGCATCGTGGGCCGGTATTCACAAAAACTACTTCAATGCCGTCCACGCCTCCGACCCACTCCCTGCGACTCCCTTTGTCCCCGTCCCTATGGATCAACTTCGGTTCTACCTCGGTGGACAGTCACCCGTACCCCCTGAACACCCCTTATACCAGCACGCCTGCTACCAGTGTCGTTACTTGGGACATTGGTCATGCCACAATGGACGCGGCTCCCGCTATACTCTGGCCCTCGAAGAGCCGTCATCTCCATCGCCATCATCGCCCGTCGCTAGTCGAACGCGCTCCCGCGTTTACACTACTTGCCGACCCCTATCTGTTCGCCCTGCCAATGCGACTTCTGGCCCGTCCTCAAGGGTCTGAGGACCTTAGAGGGGGGGTGATGTTACGCTTCCGTCAGGGGTCTTACCTTTTTTGACTTCTTGCGGTCACGTGCATCATGTGCCTTGTCGCATCGCTAATACTTGTCATCATGTTAGGAGTGAGCATGCTGCGCAGAGAGTTCGGATCACCCGCTGTCCAGGTATTTCCAATACCTGTCGAGACTCATCCCTTATGATCCATGACGTTCACCGCTCTTCTGATTGAAGAGATGTTCACTTCTTGCTCCGATGACTCCTTTCTGACTCACTTTTATTGCCTTTATGTTGTACTATAGTTCCGGTGTCTGGCTCCTCGCTGCGCTTTGATCGCGCAGCCGGTATAGCCTTCGCTTCCACTTTTACCCCGTGTTTGACACCGAATGACTCTTATTTATTTCAAAGATTAGTTCGTTGATTACTGCAGATACGCGTCGCGACGCGTCCGTCGCGACTGGTACAGTACTCATACTTAGGGGTATATAAACCCACATACTATACCTTGTATCCTCAGTTTTTCAATAGCCTGCAACTGAGCTAATTACTTTGCTTCAATCCTCGTCTTCTCTCTGTGTGAACAACCTTAGGGACTTGCCAGTAGACAAGACCTCTGTTGGATTATCGCAATAACTCAGCCATAGGGGTTACGACAAGTTTGGCCCGTGGACTCCCACCTCGCGCGCTTCGTGCCTATTCCATTTGAAGAAGTCACCACGCTCGGGCATAACACCAACAAGCTTTTACTCTCAAGTCTACAACCATTCTAACTAAAGGCAAGTACTCTTGTCTTTTGCTCTTCATTCTTCCTGTCCTCTGTGCAATAGGAAATTCCTGTATGCAGTTATCCTTCTCCTTGCTTGTAAGCAAATGGGATGGAACAACAGCATGTCAGAACCATGTATCATGCACCCAGTAAGTTTCTGTCAACCTCTTCCATCACTAGCACATTGTACACCCCTCACAGCTTAAAAGGTGATGGGAACTGCCATTCCCCCCCACTGCTAGTCAGCTATGGATCTTGCTATCCAATTCATGTTGCAGCTCACCCCCTTTGCCAACATACATGCAATTGATGACTATGCTCAGGTCCTAGCACAGTTGGTCGAGTACTGGGAATGGGATATCGATGCTGTATGTCATACCCTCTTCCCGTTCCGATGTCCTCTCACTTCCTGACAGTATCGAAGCTACCTGAGGTATGCTAACATTACTATATGTATTGCTTTTATCCCAACGTCGCCTATACAGCCCAAACATTCGCACCGACAACACTTTTGTAGTGCTATCTGCACTCGTCTTCCTCACTATGGCAGAGTGGATGCACTTGCTTTACAGTGGGTTGACCCCCGAGGAGTTCCAGGTAAAGACCCATTCTTTCCCCTACGTATTCCCGTTGGTCGATCCGGGCAGGAACGTATCTGTACCATCGGTCACCGCACCTTTGCTATCCTCGCTGCTATTCCCCGCCTGGGCCTCGTCATCATTCGCAACGTCGAAATTGTCGTGATAGCAGACTCCCTGGCTCTCGCATGTGGCCTTATAGTGGCGAGCATGTTCCCTGCACTGATATTCCCACTGATACTGTTAGGCGTTCAAACAATACGAGGGTGGATTGTCAATTGAAGGGGACAGCGTGCACCCGAGCACAACAGAGCTGAGGACACACTCGTGGCGGTGACAGGTCACTCTGAGAGCCAGCAGGTGCGACCGAGGCTTATGCACCTCGATGTTTATTGACATGACAGCTAGAGTGAGCTTATCACTGATGGTGTCGAGTCATTGGTTTGTCACAACTGTTCGTCTGAGGGACGAGGTGGATTCGATCTAGCGATTGAGGAACGTGACTAACGTTGTCATATCGGTGATCTGTCTCGCACAACATCTGTTTCACGTCACTTTGTTCGGGGCAGAGAAGATATGATTTCAATGTATACGATCCTTCCATATTATAATATGCTGCGTTGTATCCCACATTCTCTGTTCATTTCCTTCAGTGTATACCTGTCTGCACAATACCTATATACATCATACCTTCTGACGGATCGTGCGGCACAGTTCTTTCAATGAGCGAGCCTTTAGATCTAGACTATCATAGTGTTCGGCAAGTAAAACCTGTAGATTTGCCTATGTCTAATAGCTGGCAGGGCAGGAAGATCACTTGGTTGTGACATGTAAGGTGTCGAGTTGCAGCCGGGACTTGGCCGGGACCCATGCACGCAATGCCCAACGACCCTTGTACATGGTTCCCAACACTCGTCGATCCGTCAACTGTCAGAATGGCTGCCCCTCATTGGATCAAACTGAAGGCCAGTACAATGCACGTCCGGTGAACCGCATCGGGTCTTCCGTATGTCGACATCGCACGTTCCCGTCGTAGCGGGTGCTTTCAAGCTCGATTGACTTTCTGCATGTGGATACGTTGAACTCCGAACACCTTGAGTTGTGCTGAGTCGTGCTGGGCTATGCTACCTACAGCCGTCCCGAGGAGACCGTAGAATTTCCAGCCGGGAGTATGGTACGTATGCCAGTTTGTAGAATTTAAACAACCAGCGTAACTTCGTTCTCCAGTCTACCACACGCACAATCTGCGAATTCTCTGGCGCGCCGCTGAGCCATGGGTTGCACATGCCACCAGCATTTACGCACCATCTGCCCAAGCGTAATAAGTACCTGGTCCACTTCTTGTGCAGTGACCATGTCAGGGTTCGGTGGTGCTTCTGAATGTATCAGGTGTATGTCCCCGCTCTGTGCTGTCCACTCACTCATCATGCTAGTCGCCATTGCAACGAGCAAATGTCATAAACTCAAAACGATTTCGATCGGGCCTGCGACGCATAAATGAGAAGTGTCAGGACATCACTCGTAAATTCTGGCAACGGAGTCCATGTTAACTCCGGGTGGATCAAACCGCCCACAAACGAGCTTCTTGCAATGCACGGTTGCATTCAATGACTTAGTGCTGCATGAGATTGGTCTCGTTTTGCGTACCTTATGAAGCAGACGTCGTCAGTCATCGTCATCAGGGATCCTAAAGGCGACGATGTTTGATTTTGAGTGTATGTAGGTCGATCGCCGATCATGTCTGTAATTCTGATATATTCCACGGGCGGATTCAACTCCTATGTGAGCGAACCATCATATCGTGGGGTTGGAATGCCTTCGAATATCGGATCGGGTGGCTTACGGAAGAGTCTGTCAGTGTCTTCTGCGAACCCCACGCACATCACGGTAACAACTCGTGAATAGCCTTTGACCCTTCAATCAAGCATCGTGATACCTAACTTCTCACTCCTCAACGCAGCTGTGGTTACCGTAGACCAATGTCGCATTTCACGAGGAACCACTCCGCCGGCGTATACCTGCTGGCCTCCAGTGGTCGAACTCGCGCTGCTAAGCAAGGCCTCACTTCGATGACCTTCCAGCTGAAGTCCTTATGGCGACTTACCGTAAGCTTCGAGCATACACTAACCATATTTTCAAATTCCAGCATCCGAGTACCTTCTAAATTGGGTAGGTTTCTGCATGCGGACATCCTCCTCACCTTCGGATGGTCTGCTGTCGGTATCAGTGCGAGAATTCAGGTAAGAATGCTGTGACGAGATGTGTGAGTGGTGTGGACATGGGGATTCCGAACACCCTGGCAACCTTTTGTCTTAGAATTTTTCTATATGCGGGCATCCCTATGCCTGCAGATGTCACTCAGCAGGAACCTTGGCGCATCTCTGATACTTGTGCACAAGGAATAATCACTCTCTATTGCAATCCTATGATTGCTATGTCTATTGATGGACAAGATACTTCCAAGAAGAAGTGGGACAAACTTAAGTCCAAATATGGCAAGCCTTCCACCATGACTACCTTTATGGAGTTCCAGCAGTTAATCCACATTCAAATAAAACCCAAGGATGATATCATGGTGAAGATCTCTGAGATCTCCATGATTATGGCCACTATTCAAGGCCAGGGCATCAGTCTTAATGACAAGATGAAAGCCCTCATCCTGGTTCACTCCATGTCCCAAGCCTGGGAACAGGCTCCTGTCAATATTCTGTCTTCTATTCCTGCTGATCAACTCTCTCCTGATACTGTCATACCTCGTATGAAAGAAGTCTGGTCTCATAAATCTGGAAAGTCCCTGCTCCCACAGCAGGAGAAACCATCTACATCAGGCACTTCTATTAAGCAGGAGTCTAACTCTTTGCTTGCTCGTATGAATAAGCCACTGCTTTTCCAAATATGCTGTGGTGGGCACAATACTCAAGACCATCGTGGAGGTGGTTCTGGATCAAATTTCTGCAGAGGTTGTGGAGGCCATGGAGGTTGTGGTGGAAATTGTTGAGGTGGTGGACATGGCAGTTATACACCTTACCCACAACAGCAGCAACAACAACAACAGTCTGGTTCCTCTGGCCATGGCCAAGGACAGAACTGTAGATGTGGCAAGGGCAAAGCCTGAGCCAACAATGTTGAAGTTGAAGGAGCAGAAAATGTTGAATCCACATATATTGAAGAAATTCCCAACTATCAACAGTATGAATATGCTGCTGACAAATTTGATATTACTGCTATCAAAATACCTTGCTGGACCCCCACTCCTGAACTTTTTCCCGAGCAACCTGCTCTGGTTGAGAATGTTTATTCTAATGACCTCAATACTTATATCAGCTCTCATGTCATTGGTGAAACCATGACATATGATCCAGACCTTACTAGACAAGATATCACTACTGCTATGGAATTGGTTGAGCTTACTCCCAATCTCCCAGTAGATGCCTCCACAGGCCAACTAGCTTCCTGGTATCTGGATGAAATCCAGAACCATCAACCAGATCTAGTTGAGTCAGTCAAGATTTGTGTATCCATCCCTCAAACTGATTCACCTTGCACATGTTCCATTTGTCACCAAGCAGCCCTCACTCTACAGCGAGTGGTCTCACCCCTATAGGAACCCTGGGAATGGGAGACTTTGAACTCTCTTTCGAAGCAGATTCCCCTTCCCACTATTGGGAAGGACAGGATATGTCCTTGTGATCCCAGCTTGCCCTCAGACCAAGTGACAGATTCCCTTTTGGCTTGCAAGAACATGGTGGAGGTTAGGGATGTTGAGAGAAATGGCAGGACATCTCTGGAGGCAGACCAGAATTCTGGTCACCTTACCAGTAATGTTTGAGGACATGATCATGGCCACAGAAGATCCAGATGAGCACAATCAACACATTCCCACACATTTACTTTAAAAGAATTTCACAAATCTGTGCCTATACCTGTGCCTGTGAAACCTTTCCATATCAGACATAATCCAGATATCGAGTATGATCCTAACAAATCAGCTGCAGGATATTTCCCTGGTGAATTCAATAGGAATGCATACAATGCTTTTGACTGCTACCCTTTGGGTGTGCATGCATCATTCAAGAACCTACCAAAGGGTGAGTCAATATGGATGTTAGATTCTGGTGCATCACATCATGTGACACCATTTAAAACTGATTTCCTCACCTTTTGAGAATTTAAAACTCCTTCCATTGCATCTACTGCTGGGTTAAGTCAAGTACAGTTACTAGGTGAAGGAACAGTGGTTATTTGTCTTGAAAATGGGCAGAATTTACTGCTCCATAATGTTGTTTACAGTCCTTTGTTCTCAAAGCAACTTTGCTCAAGAAATGCACTGTTGAAAAATGGGTATCACAGCACAGCAACATTGACAAACAAGGTGATCCAAGCACCAGATGGCCAGATTGTCTTAGAGGCATGCTTAGCCTCTCCAACTTCACTGTTACACTGGTTTGTGGGTGTACCACTTCCACCTACCAATGCATATGTGGTCCTTTGCCCTCTGGTTAGGACATTGCCAGAGTTGTTATGGCACAATAGACTTTGCCACCCTGCTCAAATTATACTTTGTCATCTCCAATGATTGGGTCTTCCTGAAATACAAATACAGGGGGAGACTACCTCTTGTAAAGGTTGTGCTCAAGGAAAACTATCTTCTGAAGCCTTCAAACCTTCTTGGAAACATGCAACTAAACCTCTTGAATTGGTTCATGCTGACTTATTGGAACTACCAGTGGAATCTTACTTGCACTCCAAGTATATTCTTACCCTTCTTGATGATTATTCATCCTTCAGCTTCTGTCTCTACCTTCACAACAAATCCAACACTTACACTGCTTTTGCCAACTGGATGGTGTCTGCTCAAAACCAAACTGGTCACCATCTTCTTGCACTCTGTTCAGATTGAGGGGGAGAGTTTATGAGTTCTACTTTCAAAGCACTCCTTTCTACACGCAGTATTACTCATCAATTATCAATTGCTGACCAGCCACAACAAAATGGTTGAGCTGAACATTTTAATTGAACCATTTCTGAGAAAGCCAGAACTATTCAGCATCATGCATGTGTTCCAAAATGCTTCTGGAACTTTGCTTTCAATTGTGCACTTCATGTGTATAATCGAACACCTCTCAAACAGATCTTATTCAAGACTCCCATGGAACTCTTCTTAGGAAAAGTTCCTGATATATCCTATTTCCACACCTTTGGCTGCAAAGCCTTTGTATGGGTTCCAAGGGAACAAAGAAAAGACAAGTTGGAACCTCATGCAATCAAGATGGTATTTTTAGGCTACAAGCCTAATACCAAAGGTTATAGATTCCTTAATGGTCAAAA